AGTTAATGTGAAATAGGAAGAAAAGGGGCAAAGGGGAAGGGGGAGTGGGAAGGTTAGGGGAAAGGAAAGAAGGGAATGGAATGAATATGAGAAAATGGAAAAATGGAAACAAAGTCTTTGTAAATAGGGAGGAATGGAGGAGTTGAAGGGAGGGCAGGGGAAGGGGGGAAAAATAAGAATCAAGAGAGATTAGGTAAAGGTGCAAATTTCCAATGATGAATGTCATTATACTGTATACCTAAAATGCACCAATAAAATTTAAAAAAAAAATAGAAAAGAAAAATTTTGAAAAAAAGAGCTGTGGATGTAGCTCAGTGCAAAGGCTCTGGGTTCAATCCTTAGTACCAACAAAAATAAATAAGATTTTCATGTGGAATTTAAAACATACAAAACCTTTATAATTTTTTTTTCAAATGGAACCAAGGTCCTTCATGGTGAGCTACCCCCTTTTCTTTTTAAATTTACGTTGAGATAAGCTCTCGCCAAGTTGTTAAGGGCCCAGACTGGGCTCAAACTTGCAATCCTTCTGCCTCAGCCTCCCAGAGTGCTGGGATTATGGCCATGTGCTACCATGCCTGGCCACAAAACCTTCTTAAAAACAAGGTATTATGGGCCGGGGATTTAGCTCAGAGGTTTCGCTGCCGGCTGCGCAAGCGCAAGGACCCAAGTTCAATCCCCGGTACCAAAAAAACAAAACAAAACAAGGTATTCTTTAGTTTATAGCAGTGAAAATTAAAAAGGAGTTACTTACTTTTTTATATTGTGGTGACGGGGGAGCACTCTCATAATTTGTCATCAGATAACTTCGACAAGTTAATTGTTTCCCTTCTTGCGTTGAAACTTTAACTTCTATTACGACATATGTTCCACTTTCAACTCCTTCTTGGCTGAAATCAGAACAGACAAATTCTAACCGAACATGACTTAGGTAACTTGTTTCACTGGATAAAGTCTTTTAATCAAACTGGAGTATAGGATAGGATTAACAATTTAATTTTATGTAAATATTTGCTCCCTATGTGGTTTGGAATATAGTAGAACACATAAGTATGATCACATTAAAAATAAGCTTAGCATTTCAATTAGAAAGGCTGAGCCTTGGGCCAGGGATTTAGCTCGGTGGTGCCACTGACTGCCTCACAAGTGCAAGGTCCTTAATTCGATCCCCAGTACCAAAAGAAAAAAAGAAAGCCTGAGCCTTCATATTGTAATGGCCCTTTAGACCCATGGGTTTGGTTTTTTTTTTTGGTACTGGGGATCGAACTCGGGTCCTTGTGCTTGCTCAGCTAAATCCCCGGCCCGAGTGCACTTATTTTCACCTTCATAACCCTGAAACATTGTTTGTTTTTTAGGTTTCAAAAAATGGACTAACTGTTCTGATGTCAAGATTGCATCCATCCAGAGAGAAGCAGAGAAGACGGCTCACTGTCATTTAAGTGAGGTACAGAATCAAACCCATTAGATTAACATGTTCTTCTCTCCTTCGGGCCCACTCTTTTCTGCCTATTTGCTTGTAGGGAATGCTCTGCTACACAACTCTGACACTTCTAGTTATAAAACACATTTCCAATATGTTGCTGGTGATGCTTTTAAAAATTACTTATTGACTGATTCAACTGCAATTTTAAAGAATTATTTTTAAAAACTGAATCAACTTCCTTTTGAAATCAATACACATATTTAACAATTACAAAAATATTTGGGCCTTTTCATAATATGAAACAAATTTTTTTTGTTGTTGTTAAATTCTTTTATTGGTACATTTGTGAAACAAATTTTTATGAAAGACAAATTAACAGAATAAAAAATAAGGCCTGCTGTCTTTTTACATAAGAGATTATAAGCATCTCCCCAAGTCTCAGTCACAGTGACTTTTTAAACAAACATTATCATACACTTTGTGTTGGTTCTGAAGAATAAAAAATATGTTTGGGGCCGGGGATTTAGCTCAGTGGCTCCGCCGCCTGCCTTGCAAGCACAAGGTCCTAAGTTCTATCCCTGGTACCAAAAAAAAAATGTCTGTAGTGTATGGTTTTGAGAAAATAACACACAAATACACACACATCCTTACATATAATTCACTTTCTGAATTAGCTTTTTTTAAACTTATAATTAGAAGCCACCTACTCATCCAGAGAACTTAAATTGCTTTTGTGCATTTTCCATACTACTCCCCATACTTCATCGCCAGGACTTTGAAAAATGGTAGCTATACCTCCATGCCACCTTTGACTTGTTTTGCCTTGGAAATTGCCAAAGTCAAGCTTAAAATCCTACAAAAGAAATAAAAATGATATGATCAATATCTGTTTGAACCCAGATTTCCCTCTTCAAAATAAAAAGGTTTTACTTTGAGTCTAATGCAATTAAAATATTCAATTAACTTTAGGTTCTTTGTAAGAAGCTATGGAAGAGACAAAAATAGATAATCTTAAATTATCTAGATCTCAAGGACTATATATTTTTTCATACATTCTTTTAAAAATAAAACACATACAGGTATGTACAGGCATCCTAACATTTATTTAAAAGGCATAAGGAAAAAGAAATCCCATAGCCCCAATGTCTTAGCATAACTGCTTTCATTTTTGCAAATTATTTCCCTATCTACTTACATGAACATATATTTTTTAGGGACAAACCCTTTGTGTCTGTAATCCCACCAGGATAATGTATCACCGTATTTGCCATATGAGAACTGGCATTTGAGGGTGATTTGAATATTTATGAACATTAATATTCACAAACTATACTAATTTATCTATAACTGAGAGTAGGTAACACTGAAAATTAATGGGTATTATCACTGTACTATTAGCTTTAAGTGGATCAGCTCCCTTTCTTCCTGTAGCAACTTTATTATACTCATAAAACAGTGAAAAAAACTGTGGCTTAGAAAGATTAAGCCACTTGCCTAAGGTCTCACAGCTAATAAGCAATGGAGCTATGTTTCTAGTTTTGCTTCTTCCCTCTGAGGTGGGAATCAGGGAATGAGGGTCCTGGAGATTAAAAATTCTTACTTGGTTTGTTTGGTCTAGGAAGATTTCTTTCTGCCTTTCCATAGATTAGTTCCCTTGAAATGGATGATAACTATAAGTTCCCTTCCACGTTCCTATTTTATCCCTATATCCTGTATCTTCTCAAAAACCTGTCATATATTTCAGGAAAAAAGTTTGTACAAGTGACCAGGACCTTCAGTTGGCATACTAGATGTTCTTCTAGCACCAGGCAAGCCTGGCAGGACACCAGTAGATCCAATCAAGAGTTACAACCCACACTAGGGACTGGTTGTCTATTGCTAAAGCCGACAGAAATTCTCATTTCCTATCCTGCTCCAGCTTCAGTTGCTTGTGACATGACTAGTGCTGCTCTGCCCTCTTTTTTCATTTTCAGGCTGTTCCTTGCTCTCAATTCCTGTTGCCAACTCCTCCTCCAGTACCCAATCTTTAAATGTTGGAGTTTCTCAGGGCTCATCACAGTCCCTTGTATTCATTCAGCAATTTACCCAAGATAATCTCATCCTCTTCAATGTCTTCAAATACCATCTAATGCGTCCATCTTAGAGCAAGGTCTAGCAAATAGCAAGTACAGTACTGAACCAATGCTCACTAGTATTATCTGTTCACTTGGCTGTCCAGCAAGCATCTCAAACTCAGTATGTTTAAATGGAACTTACAGTTTTTCCCCTGAAAATTAATTCTCTTCTCTCTGTAAATATCACCATCATCTGCCTTGTTGTGCAAAATCTTGAGTCATCCTTGATATCTCCTCCCTTCACACTTAGTCACCAAGCTTTAACAATGTTATCTCCTTTGTATTTCTCCAATCCATCTGCCTTCCCTGGCCACTACCCTAGTCTAAGGTGCCATTCATTATTTTTGGTATGAACTGCTGCAAAACTTCCTGAGCTCCCTATGTTGATTACTGTCTCCCTTCAAACCCAAACTCCAGAGACGAGAAAGTACTTTCAAAGATGTAAATCTGTACTTTGGCCTCTGTGGCCCACACGCCACATCTCCCTTACTACATTCCAGTCACGCTGGCTGGAAGATTCAGTTTCCCCTTTCCTCAGGTCCTCTGCACATACTTTTTCATGGTCTGTTTGCACCTCACCTCCCCAGCTGCTCAGATCTCACCCAAAAAGTCCCATTTTCACAGAGGGCTTTCCTGAGCATCCTGGTTAGGTCAGGTCCTCTGGTCATATTCTACTGCACCTTACATGTCTCCTTTTTAAGACTGACCAGCCCAGAAACTGAATAATCATTTGTTTGATGTCTCTTTTCTCTGCTCTGACCCTAAGCATTTGAACTTCTTTCCTACACTTGGGTCATTCCCGGACTTTGGGGGAAGGGAGTATTGGAGCCTGACTCCCATTTATGAAGCTTCCCAAATGTCAGAAATTGGTTCTTGCCAGGGATTTAGCACAGTGGTTCCGTCAAGTGCCTCGTGCCTCGCAACTGCAAGGTCCTGAGTTTGATCCCGGTACCAAAAAAAAAAAAAAAAAAGAAATTGGTTCTTTTGGATTTGCTTGCAGTCAGCCCATGGCTACAGTGAGACTTAGCTAGTAAGGATGCCCACCTGGGGCTCTGAATTAGAATCGAGGTTCTAGGTGCTTGGTGGTGGCTGCCACATCAGGGGTTTCAGGAACTTTAGGGATCAGTACTGCAGCAGACAGGGTTGAGAAAAGATGGTGTTGTCGATGCAAGACACAGCACTCATGCTCATGAAGTCCTATTCTGCAACAGCTCGGACTGGTGTGGTTGTGCGATGCTGGTTTGGTTGTGCGATGTTGGCTGTACTCGGGTGGCTGCATCTCCCTTTATGCCTCCCTGTTTTGTAAGCCTTTGTACTCCTGCCTTTCTGGTCATTCCGTGAACTGTCCAACAGACTTTCAACACTTTTGTGTGTGTGTGTGCTTAAATCAGCCACTTTTTGTTGCTTGCAACTAAGAACTCTGACGAGGTTAGCAGAGATAATGTCTGTTTAGCTCAATGCTATGAAAAGGTACATTGTCTGCACAACCCTCCTATAGTCTGGGCGGTCCACAAAGTAGCAACTCGATTATCATCCTAGCGTTAAGCGCCAGAAAAACCAGTGAAAAATTAATATACTGTACCAAACAGTAATGATTTACAAGGCTGGTTAAAGTTCAGTCACTTGACCTGAGCACAGTGGTCATTATGAATACATGGTTCCAGCTTTCTGGACCTCTGATCAGAAGAGAAAGGTAAACACATTTCTACAATACCAGGTGACAAGTCCCGTAACACAGAGTGCAGAGAACAGAGGGTTTCTCAGAAGTATCCACTGCGTGCATTCTGGAGGATGCCCCTAAGTTAAGAGGACAAGAAGAGGGGCGAAGCAGTGCAGGAAACATCGGGGGGGGGGGCAGCCGAGAGGGCTCAGCTGCCGGGGACACGGTCCACAGAGGTCCAGCCTAGGGCCAGGACTTGCCCAGGAGTGGAGGCTAGGGTACCACAGGTATCCCGACGCACTCTCGCAGGAAGCCCTGCGTTCCGAGGATCCCGGCCGGGTGTGTGCACAGCGGGCAGGGCCCGGGAAGGGACACTGACCTGCAGGCAGGCCACGCAGCAGAACGCGGCCGAGGAGTTTCGGTGGTGGATCCTCTCCGTCAGCAGGTTGCTGCCGTACGCGAAGTACAGGAAATTCTCTCCGTCCTGGCCTGCATGACCCTCGAAGTCCGAATTCGCCATGTTACACCTCAAGTTTGCACCGTTCCGATGAGGAACTGCGGCAAATCACATCAGAGCACTCAGACTCAAGGACTGCGCCGCCACCGCCTCAAGCTAGAGAAAGTCTCCAGTGGGCGGGGCACGTCAAAGCGAGCGCTCTTCTGATTGGCTTTCGGGCCTCCGGGGTGAGTCGTCCCCCTTGATTGGTCAATTCCAAACCTCTTTCCTGCCCTCCCCCGGGGTTTTGGCCTCAGGCGACCCGGGGCTGATCTCTCATTGGACATTTTCGTCTGATGTCCCGCCCTCCTACTGAAAGCTTCCTCTGATTGGCGGGTATTAAGATCCCGGGGCCCAGGCCAGGGTTTGCTACGCTGGAGTGGATGCTCTTTCAGTAACTTGGTCGGACAGGAGGTGAGGTTGCCTCGCTGGCAACTCGTCCCCGCCCTGTCCTTTGGGTTACAGGCCACGGCCAGACAGAACTCTTCACCCCACCTTCCCGCACGCCGGCGCTGATCATCAGCCTGACACCTTTTCTAAGCCCCTTCGGCCTCTTGGAGAAGCCTCTCCTTGGCAAAGTTACTCCATCCTGGGCCCGCCACGCATTCTTGGGCACCTCAGCGCGCTGTTTGCTCCCTTTAAAACAGGGGTCATGGAGTAATTTATGGTCACAAGTGAGAATCAATATTGCTAATTCTAAAATAAAAAAGATATGAACGCAAGGCCCAGAAGCAGTGGCGATCCCTGGAGCCCAGATGTCAATGCCCGCCATTCCCCACTAAAAGGAACCAGGGCCCTTTGAAGAAATGGCTGATGGCGGGTTAGAAGCTGGGGACAACGAATTAGGACCCGTTGGGACAGCCTGGGCCAGAAAGTCAGGGAGCTTACCGAGAAAAGCTAGATCCTCGAAAAGACACCAGAGCCCACATGAAGGACGCCCACTGGCAAAAATTAAGACAGTGTGCGCATTAAAAGTAAGACTGCAAACTGCAAGATGATTGAAAATACTAAGCATAGGAAGTCAGCTTCCCCCTAGCCAGGCATGGAGGCAAATGCCTAAAAATCCAGTATTTGGGAGGCTGAAGCAAGAGGATCTCCAGAGTTGGAGGCCTGCCTGGGCTACACAGCGAGACTGTCTCCAAAAATTAAAAAAAAAAAAAAAAAAGTCACCTTCCCCAAAAGTAAGCAAATTAAAGCAGAGAGAGACAGAGAAAGAAGGCAGTCTTACTTGCCACACACTGTTGGTGGTGACCCTTATACACCAACATTTACTCTGAAAAGTGGTAATTTAAGAAATAGAACCTGTTGATGAGAAAGTAGTTTTCTTTACAAAAGTATGCTAGCTAAATAGTGTAAACAGAATTTTGCAGTTCCTAATGAAATAACTGATTCATGCCAGGATCATCAATGAAACCCTTTGGTGAAAGGGCCATAGGGGATGGGGTATTCAGAGTGCCAAATTATCCCTCAGGGATTACTGTCAAGGGGAAAATATCAACTCCAAGGGGAAAGTCTGGCCCCTCCTACTTTATCCCAGATCAATCTGATCACTAAAAGTGGACCAACCTGACATTGTTTCCTGATATAATCTGAAGCTCCGGCATCTTATTGAAACATGGCTTCCAAAAGTCTAGAACCTCAACATAAGGCTTTCAGTCTATCTTCCTGCCTCAGAAACTACAAGAATGGAAGAATGAAATGACATCAAGAGGAAACACTCCAAAAAACCTAGAACAAATGGCCCAATCTCTTAAGTCAGTGTGTGAGAGGGAGAGAGGAAGAAAAAAGGAGGAGGGAGAGAGGAAGAGGGAGAGAAGGAAGAAAGGTGAGAGAGGAGAGAGGAAGAAGAGGAAGGGAGAAAGGCAAGACAGGGTTGTTCTAGCTTAAAAGAAACTTGTTTTTTGTTTTTTTTGATTCCGGGAATCCAACTCACCACCTTGAGCTGGCAAGGCAGATGTGGTGCCACTGTGCTAAATCTCCCACCCGAAAAGAAACTTAAGAGACATCAGTAAATGACATGTCTTCTTATTGATTCTAGTTTAATAAACCAGATATCAAAGATTTTGGGGGATCAATTGAAAAAATTTGAGGTATTAGGCCATTGTTATTAGGCATAATAATGGTATTGTGCATATTTTTAAAGACTTTTTAGCATGCAAAAGTGATATATTTGAGGTGCAACTTTTGACATATTTTAAAATGATTCAGAAAAATGAAAATAGAAATATTAGTGAAAGTATACATGGATTTTCATCATTTTATCTTATTCTGCATATTTTAGCATATTCATGTTAATTTTTTTTTGCAATTTTTGAGACAGGGTCACACTATGTAATTCAAGTTGGACTTGAATTCACTATGTAGCCCAGGCTGACTTCGAACTCATGATGATTCTCCTACCTCTGCCTCCTGAATTAAATTTTTTTTAAGAGAAAGAAAAACAGGTGATATATGAAAAACATTTGACGTATAGAGTCTTCAATAAAAAATAGCATTATATAATCTGAAAATAGGGAGATTGATACTTCTCCCTTCCCAAACATTGACAGAACTTGAAAAATATACTTGGTCATTTCAGGAAGTAATTTGCTTTTCCTAGAAAATCATTCCATTTCACCATAAATTGTTATAGTCTCCATTTCAGCACACTGGCGTTTAAAATGTCCTGCTTTTTAAATCGCTTTAAAACATCCAAAATGGATTATGTAATTATTTATTTATTTATTTTGGTACTGGGGATCGAACTCGGGTCCTTGTGCCTGTGCGGCAGGCGGCGGCACCACTGAGCTAAATCCTCGGCCCTTGTTTTTTCAAATGTAAACAAAGCCAGGTTAGTATTAGTTAACATTCATAAGAATTTATTAAAAGTGAGGGACTGGTCTAACTTCATGTATTTATAAGCGCATTTAATTCTGAAAATGACCCTGTGTGGAACGTACTAACATTATCCCCATGTTGCCGGTGAGGAAACTGAGGTATGGGGGGGAGCTGCCTTGCCCAGGGTGTAGTCGGCAGTGACCCGGCAGAGTCTGCCGTGAGGTCTGTCTCCACACCACCACTGGGTGCTGCCTCCTAAATCTCCCACAATCCCAATGGCCTGGTGCTCTAGATATAAGTAGTTATTAATAATCCACTTTCAAGTATATACAAGGGTATTATGAAATAATGATTGTAGCCTGCAATCACTTGATGATAATGAAGTCAGAGCTCTTCCAAACGCTATCTTTTAATAGTAATCCTTTTTTTTTTTTTTGGTACCGGGGATTGAACTCAGGACCTTGTACTTGCGAGGCAGGCGGCCGAACCACTGAGCTAAATCCCCGGCCCAGTAGTAATCTTTTTAAATTTTTTTTTATTTTTGTGGTACTAGGGGTTGAGCCCAAAGCCTTAGCACTGAACTATATCTCCAGCCCTTTTTATTTTTTCATTTTGAAACAGGGTCACTAAGTTGCCTGGGCTGGAGTGGAACTTGTGATCCTCTTGCCTCGGCCTCCCAAGCCGCTGGAATTACACATGTGCACCACTATGCCCAGCTTAAAGTTACTGTTAAAAATCTTTGAACATGCACATAAATTATATATACATACATATACATTACATAAATAGCACTGTATCATAATTGTTACTATTACATTAATACATAAAACACATTATGTAGTAATCCCAAGATAGAAATTTTTAAAAAGAAATGAACTAGTTTGTCATGTTAATTGTGATAGTTTCACTCTATTGTTGGCTAATCTCAAGGTAAATATACATGTAGGTCAAAGTTAATTATAAATGATAGTAGCTGGAGATCCATTTTGCATAGTCCTCCCTCAGATTTTCCATGCTTTGGCTGACCTTGTCAGATATTACTAGATTGTCATCTTTTTTTTTGATACTGGGGATTGAACTCGGGTCCTTGCGCTTGCGCAGCAGGCAGTGAAACCACTGAGCTAAATCCCCGGCCCTAGATTGTCATCTTTATACCTCAGTAAATGTGATGAGGAGCTTGTGCCAGAAATCTGAAAAATGCCAACTCTGTTCATTTCTTGTTTCTTTTCTTCTGCTTGCAAATTTAGTAGGAGCTTTCTTCCAGTGCTTTGCAAAAATCTTTTAAGTCACGTTTGTGTTTTGTGAGAACTAATTAATTCTCTGTAATTACACTTACCTAAGCATGGGTGAGTGACATAAATCTCAAGACATGGACAGTGTGTGAACGAGGGCCATCAGCCCCTCCGCCAGTACAGCTCATAACGACTGTCAACAAATGATGACAGACTGACAGTTGTACAGTTACAGTAAAGCAAAATTCCTATATTAGTATATAAGATTGCTTACTAAATGCAGTCAAGTTAAAGTATAGGCCAGTTACTGGAATATACTGATTGAATCTTGTTAGTCTGTCTCATTAGTCTAGCTCTCTGGGCTGAGAAATAAAATTGTCTGCAGATTCACACCAACCATGTCCATGAAAGAAGGATGTACATATCAGAATGCCAGCTTGTTGAGGTACAATAAAAACTGAAACAGGCAAACCGTATACTTATGTTCACTGATCAGTGCCCTTTCTCCCACTGCAAAAAAAAATCCACATGTGGCATGAGTTTAGCAGGCTTGAGCTACAGCTAAGTCAGGTGAGTAGAGTTGAAGAAACAAGAGAAGGGGCAGTAGGAGATAAAGTAGAGGGATAGGCAGAGGCCAGGTCATGTGGTCCCTTGAAGGACATTTTGAGCCTAGATTTTATTCTAAGAGAGCAAAAGCTTCTGCACAGCAAAAGAAACAACCAACAGAGTACAAAGTCAACCTACAGAATGGAAGAAAATTTTCCCAGTTATTCATTCGACAGAAGACTAATAACTAGAATATATAAAGAACACAAAAAATTAGGCCACACAAAATAAAAGACCGAATCAAGGAAGTGGGCAACTGAACTTGAGACACTTCTCAGAAGAAGTAGTACAACTGGCCAATAAATATATGAAGAAATGTTCACCATTATTAGGCATTGGAGGAATGCAAATTAAAACAAAACTGAGATTCTACTGTACCCCAGAAAGAATGGCCATCATCAAGAAATCAAATAACAGGCTGTCTGTCCTGCCATTCCTAGCCCAGAGGAAAGGGCTTTTGGGCCACCTTCTGTCCTGCCACTCCCGGCT